ATGAGTAGTAATGATATTATTCTAAAAAAAGGTATCAGATCAGATCAGCCACCTGAATCTGACCTAAACACGGAACTTACAGAAGGAACAAATGATGGGTTGGTGTCGGATGCTGTTGGTACTGGTGGTAATAGTTCACATGCCGTTTCAGGCACGAAGGATAAATCTGTTGTAGATATGAGCAGGAGTAAGAGTACCACTGGAAAAGGAAAGAAGAAGCTAAGGGCAATTCTCCAAATGGCGGATGCTGCAGGAACTACTTCTGACCTTTACATGGCATATAAGCGACCCGAAGAGAAGAAAGAAACAGTACCACATTCTGAGAGCTTTGAGAGGACAGAAAGTAGGTCTTCTAGTGTGGACACCGAGCAGGAATCGATTGAGGCTGTTAAAGAAGATGCTAATGCACAGGGTAAAGCTGAGCCTGAAGACTGGGAAGATGCTGCTGACATTGCTACACCTAAACTGGAATCAGCACATGGAGATGGTGCTGGTACATCGGTGGTTGATGGTGGAGACAGACAGGGAGATATGGCCAAGAAGTATTCTAGGGATTTCCTCCTCAAGTTTGCCGAGCAGTTTGTGGACCTTCCACATAACTTTGAAGTTGCACCTGATATAGAGTCCTTGATGAGTTCTCGTGCCAATGCATTTCATCATCCTGATCGTGATTCATATCCAAGCCCAGGACGAGTAGATAGACCATCAAGTGGAGGATCACGATTGGATCGTCGCGGTAACAATTTGGTTGATGATGACAGATGGAACAAATTGCCTGGCCCCTTTGTTTCAGGACAGGATCCTCGTATGGATCTAGCTTATGGAGCCAGTGCGGGGTTTCGACCTGGTCAAGGAGCCAATTTTGGTGTTTTAAGAAACCCCCGAGGGCAAGGTTCTGTTCAGTATGCTGGAGGAATACTTGGTGGGCCTATGGGACCACAGGGAGGGTTGCATAGAAATAATTCTGATGCTGATCGGTGGCAACGAGCTAACAATTTTCAGAAGGGTTTAATTCCTTCACCGTCAACACCGTTGCAGACTATGCATAAAGCTAAGAAGAAGTATGAGATTGGTAAGGTATCAGATGAAGAAGAAGCCAAGCAAAGGCAATTGAAGGCTATACTAAACAAGCTAACTCCCCAGAACTTTGAAAAGCTCTTTGAGCAAGTTAAAGAAGTAAACATCGATAATGGTAGAACGCTAACCGGAGTAATATCACAGATTTTTGACAAAGCTCTAATGGAGCCTACATTCTGTGAAATGTATGCCAACTTCTGTTTTCATCTTGCTGGAGAACTGCCTGATTTAAGTGAAGACAACAAGAAAATTACTTTTAAGAGATTGTTACTCAACAAGTGTCAGGAGGAATTCGAGAAAGGTGAAAGAGAACAGGAAGAAGCCAACAAAGTTGAAGGTGAAGGTGAGGTGAAGCAGTCTGAAGAGGAAAGGGAAGAAAAGCGAATTAAGGCACGTAGAAGAATGCTAGGCAACATTAGATTAATAGGGGAATTGTACAAGAAGAAAATGTTGACTGAGAGGATAATGCATGAATGCATCAAGAAGTTACTCGGTGAATATCAGAATCCAGACGAGGAAGACGTTGAATCTTTGTGCAAATTGATGAGCACAATTGGAGAGATGATAGATCATCCCAGAGCAAAAGACAGTATGGATTCTTATTTTGAGATCATGACAATGTTATCAAACAACATGAAATTATCATCCCGGGTTCGATTCATGCTAAGAGATTCAATTGATCTGAGGAAGAACAAATGGCAGTCTAGGAGGAAAGTTGAAGGCCCAAAAAAGATCGAGGAAGTACACAGAGATGCTGCTCAGGAGCGGCAGGCTCAAACCGGTAGGTTTGGTCGTGGTCCAGGCATTAATCCTTCAGCAAGGAGAGGGGGCCCATCTATGGATTATGGTCCTAGGGGATCGGCTGTGTCATCCCCAAGTAGTCAGATGGGGGGTTTTCGTGGATATCCGCATCAAGCTCGTGGATATGGAAATCAGGATTCTCGTCAAGATGAAAGACAGGCTTATGAAGCTAGGACATTGTCTGTTACATTGCCTCATAAAGCGGGTGGCGATGAGTCTATTACTTTGGGTCCACAGGGTGGTCTGGCTCGAGGAATGTCCATCAGAGGACCGCAACCAAGTTCAGCCTCTCCTGCTGAGAAGTCATCTCTTCCTGGAGAACTGAGAAACGCACCAACTTCTTCGAACGGGTATAGTTCTGCATCAGAGCGTGCAGCTTCCAAAGAGGATCTAATTTCGAGACATATGCCGGAGAGATTTGCTGGTCCTACATCATTTGACCACGGAGGTGGTAAAGATCGTTATTCAAATTTTGGAAATAAGGATTTGAGACATTCAGGTCGGAATTTCGATAGATCTCGTCCGATTTCACCTGTCACACCGCCACCAACTATGACTTCAAATCTTCCTTCTGAAAAAGTATTGTCTGAAGATATGCTGCGGAAATTGTCATTGACGGCCATCAAGGAGTTCTACAGGTATGCAGTTTCTTGAATACTTTATTGGCTTTGCACAACAAAAGTATTATTGGGTCAAAGTTTACTTGTTCTTGCCACAAATATTAGTTCAATGGCCAAATTATCTTCCTTTTAATCAGATAATTAGAATTCGTTCCAAAACGATTGTCCTTCTAACAAGAACATTAGTTCGTACCCGATTGTTTTTCTTCTGGCCTCTGTTTGTTGTAGTTTCTTGAGACAGACCATGTCATATCTAGATAGCTGTATGTATGCAAAACAAATGCAAAATTGGATAACTTTAAAGCTCACTTTATGTTCGATCATGATAACGATATTTTTTAGTAGTGCACTGGATTTTATTTGGACGAGTTCAAATTTGTGTTCGGGCTGATGGAAAAATGTGAAAGCTCCATCCTCGTGTTGAATGACTTTTCAAGTGCTTTATGTTTGACCATGCTAGTAAGTTTTTAGTAGGCCTCTAGATTTTGTTGGACGAGTCTGAACATGTGTTTTGTGATTTCGATCATTTGGGACACTGTTCGACCATGATAGTAAGTTTTTAGTAGGCCTCTAGATTTTGTTGGACGGGTCCGAACTTGTGTTTTGTGATTTCGATCATTTGGGACACTGTTCAACCATTGACTTGTAGGACTTGTTCAGATGATTTATCGTATATGATTCGATTATTACTTTATCTTTTGTGTTCTGCTTTCAGTGCCCGAGACGAGAAGGAAGTAGCTCTGTGCATCAAAGACTTGAATTCCCCAGCCTTCCACCCGACCATGATTAGTCTCTGGGTCACAGACGCTTTCGAGAGGACGGATTTAGAAAGGGATCTTTTGGCGAAACTTGTTGTTAACCTCTCCAGGTCGAACGATGGCACATTAAACCAGATTCATCTGGTCAAAGGGTAATACTAGAAAGAAACACCAACCATGTGAAATTTCGAACGTTTCGTTATTCTTCCTTTGAATCTTCTTCTCCATCTGGGCAGGTTTGAAGCAGTTCTTGCGACTTTGGAGGATGCTGTAAACGACGCTCCCCGAGCTCCGGAGTATCTGGGTCGTATTCTCGGGAAAGTGATCACAGAAAGCATGGTTTCCTTGAAAGAAGTTGGAGATTTAATCTATGAAGGAGGAGAGGAACCAGGAGCCCTTCTGCAAGCTGGACTTGCAGCTGATGTTCTTGGGAACATCTTGAAGGCAATCAGAACAGAGAAAGGAGAAGGGTTCCTAAACGATATGCGCTCGAACTCGAAGTTGCGGTTGGAGACGTTTCGGCCACCGGATCCTAAGAAATCAAGAGTGTTAGAGGAATTTATTTAGGAGTAGAGTGAATCAAAATTGCTGCTGCTGTAATTTTGTTAGTTGCAATGCTTTTTTTTAGGCTACTTAATTAATTTGCAGATAAGGAATTTATATATATATATATATTTTTTCAACTTTGATGGGTTTGGTGGGAAATTTCCATATAATTGGGGTTTTTATCCATCACTAATTAAATCCCCAACAATTTCTTCTCAAATTTTAATACATAGTCTGGTTCCTTTCTGCTTTTCAATGGGTTTATTATTATTATTATTATTATTATTATTATTATTTTATATTTTTTTAATTTAATTTTGTTATGTATAGGTAAGTTAATAAAATTCATGAACTTTCACTCTTATTTATTTTGTTATCTTTACTCTTAATCATGTTTTTATTGTTTCCTTTAGTAGATATGAACGAACCTCTCATGTGTTCTTTTATTAAGAAACTCGAAACGTTGGGAAACTTTTATTGATCCTTTGCTTTGAAGCGTTGTTCGCTTTTTGCACGGTGGCCCTTAACGTTTCTCAGGTATGCTTCGTGTTTTAATCTATCTATCTTCCATATCTAATGTATTAAAGTAATTGATTTTGTGTTTGTTTTTTTTAATTTATGGATTTGGACTAAAAAATCAAACATGCTTTATTTATTTTAAAATTTATTCTTTAGAGAACTCTTCAATTGCCATTCTTTTAAGGGAAAAGTGAAAGGGTTTGAAAAGTTCTAAAAAGTTAGAAATAAAGCGTTCAAATATTCCAAAATTCTTTCATAAAAGAAAGTGATATTTGGAGGATCTTATTCAGAGTACACGGTTTGTCCCTTTTCATTGACCATATTCTTTTCTTGTTCCAATCTCCATAAACGAACAAGGAATAATAATAATAATTGAAATGGTTAACTATTAACCAGCCACAAACAAATGACTAAATTCAAGCATTAAAAAAAATGTATGAACCAAAATAAATAAAATCCTAAGCAAAGAGATTGCATCATATTTCCAGATTCCTATGCTATTTACTGGCACTAGTTTGTAAAAAATAGTACAAAAGTTGGAACTTTAACTTTATCTTGTTACTGTTAATAGTCGCCATGCTTTAACTTTCTCAAAGTTCAAAATCTTCGCCCATTCTCCGTCTCCAGCATAGCTCGAGTGAAAACGTCTGAGAGAGGACTTAGTGAACGAATCACAGGGCAACATGAAAGGTTTTCCATTGGGGTTTAGACTAACATTTGAAAAGTTGCATCATAACAGCTCAACTTACATTGAGGCATCATTGTCTTCACTATTTTATTGATTCATGCTAATAATCAAAGATGTCCAGAACAAAAAACATGCTTTTCAGGGTTGAAATATATTTTAGCAGATAAATTTTGTAAGCAAGACTTCTGAACCTATAAATCAAGGGTTGGCTCCAGAGTTTCCTTTGAATATGCGAGAAATTTGAATGGTTTGTAAATTTGAACTCCATTTGTATCAATAATTCAGTTTTTGAAGCTTTGCTCTAGCCGCATCAAGCTTTTCTGAAAAGAAAAGAACAGCCAATCAGAATGATGAGATGGGGTCAATTAGTTAATTGTAGATATTGACAAACAAAAATAGTGAAGCCTTAAATTTCACATGGGTCGAAGGAGAGATACCAAGGTCAAACAGAAAAAGAAGAAATTAGCTATTGACATTCTATCGATCTCATATATCTAACATTTTTCGATATCTAATCTCATTTCGATATGTTTCAAAGAAGAAATTTTCTTCCTCATATGGATATTAGAACTTTCTTGATAGAAATATTGATGGATATATCTAAAATGTGGAAGTGTATTGATCACCATAGATGGGATTAGAGGGAAGACAGGAAAACATTGGAGAGTGGAGGCTTATTAAAGCAATTTTCTTACTCTGTTCGGAAGTTGTTGCTTTTTGAACAGTTGTTCGGAAAAATATGTTTCCATTCTTCTGAAAGACAGCCTGCAATGTATAACATTAAGAATTAGTAAAATGGTTGCTCAGAGAGAGGCAGTGGCTGTTCAACTTAAGCAATTCGATGTCAAGTGTCCTTCATCCACATATCAATATTTCCACTAATATTTTCATAAATGGAAAAATATGATATCAGTATTAGAAATCAATCGATGTTTACAACTTTCTTTTTTCATGATCTTCGTAAGAACATACAAGAATGTTTTCACATATATTTTTCATGAAATTGAGATGTTGTAATCCTTATTAGAGCTCAAGCAAAAAAGAGATATCAAAAGTCACTACTAAACTAAAATTCTTCTATACAATAAAAATACATAAATCAAGCTGTTTACATAAAAACATCCATAACTTCGTTGCATGTTTCAAAAATACCTAAAACGAATTCAAACGAAGACGAGTTTCTAAGATTTAAACCCTAGATTAACATGTAACTCTAAATCTTAACGTATACGATAGAAAACTTAGTCCAAAATGCTAGCCATGGTGATCGATTAGCAAAATATCCAGCAGAAAAAGGTAAATACGCAGAGTTCGAACAAATTTTCAAACATAATGCTATTACAAAGTTCTACTTCTAGTTCAAATTTGAAAAAAAAAAAAAAAAAAAAAAAAAAAAAGAACTAGCGAAACATGGCGGTAGGGCTTACTCTGGTAGAGGAAAGATGATTGAGCTCTGCAATGGAAACCTCATGACTTCTCATCTCTTTTGTAATTTCCAGTTTCTGCTCTTCGATTGTTCTCGACGGGAACGCCGCCGCCGTGCCAAACCCGCCGCCGGTTGGCATTTTTTCGATTGTGTCACTCTCGATTCCCCTGCTTTATTTTGTTTCGGGTGAAGTGAACTGAAGTAATCTTCGAAGATATTAAATAGCGCATTATGGGCCATTTAGTAATAGATCAAAAAATGATAGGCCCAACTATTTTCTAAAAGCCCAGCCCAATATGTCGGCCCAATATTTTAGAAATTTTCTTTGAAGGAATTCAAGTTTTAAAAATTTTAAAAAAAATTATTATTTCTAAAATAAAATTAGATTTAGAAATTAGGGGCCAAAATGATATTTTATTCGCAAATTATTTTATAAAAAATAAAAAAAATTAGAAATAGGATAAATTAGCGTAATTGTAGGGATATAATTTTTAAAAATTCAAATTTCAATATTATAAGAAAGTCTTCAAAATACATATGTGTGTGTATATATTGGGACGGGGTGGGGCAAAGAGGTAGATGAAGACAGAATATAATCATCTTCTTGCCTCCTCCCCATTTGAAAGGGGACTCTCCGTCCTGTAATACACACTTTTCACATACCTTGTAAAAGCCAACCCAATTCCAATGGATTCTAAGAACATGAAAATATTCAATCGCACCGAGAACTATGTCCGATGCATAGTCAAAAAGCATCTTCTAGTTCCTCTCCGGAGCTCGGGTTCACGAAGACGGAATCGCCATTCTTCCGTTTGTCAAATTGAACTGAGTGACAACAACTTCTTGAGGAAGGAGATGGTATTTTATGCCCAAAAGCTCAAAAACCCTTTTGAGTTCCAAAATGAGGTCTGATCTTCTGTTGTTTCTTTCAGGGAAGTTTTGATGGTTCATGGTGTGCTGCACACATAGACTCATCTTCATCTTGTCCACATTCTCAATCTCTTTCACTACCAATGAGTGTTTTGGGCTCCAATGCTTCGGTTTGCTCTCTATGTATCTGTAAATAGTTCACCCGAGGAAAAAAATGTGAGATCCCACATCTGTTAGAGAACGGAACGAAACATTCCGTGTTTTAAAATCGCAAAGCTTACTGCAATATATATAAAGGCCAAAACGGACAATATTTACTAGCAATAGTCTACCGTGAAAATGGTGTATTTCGATGAAGAAAAAATGAGGCAATGAGAAGGGGTGGAAATGCTTACATTTGCATAGCTTTCCTGAGGGCTGTGATGTTGTCAAAAGAAGTGGACACATCAATAGTGAAATCCACCGTGTCCGACATGTCGGGACTTCTTCTAAAATTGCTGATTGGCTTCGTCAGAAGAACAGAGTTGGGATAGTAAATCTTCTCATTGTCGAATCTCAAGAACACCGTTGATAAAATGTTCATTTCTTCGACAAACATCTGAAAAACAGGAAAAAAGAAAGCCCCATTATTTCATAATTTCATACGCCAGGAACTAAACTTGTAATAGAAATTCTTGACAAGATGATTTACTTACATGGACACCGTCGATGACACACCGATCGCCGACATCAAAAGGGTGCATAACGAAGACGAAAATGATCGATTCGAAGATGGTTTTGCAGGTGTTTTGGAACATGAATCCAACGAGGAGAAGCTGGGAGGTAACAACGAAGAGGACCTTAGTGGTGGCTACGCCAAGGACCAGAAGAGAAATGACAATGATGATCACAATCACGACGGCGCTGGCCAGCTTATGGAGCTGCTGGACGGCGGTTTTGGTGTCATTCAAAGAATGAGCCAATGCCTTCCGCTCTATGTAGGCATGAACCACCCAGTTTCTGAAAGCGGATTTGGAGATTTTTCCTGTTTCCATGGCGCCTTCAAAGAGAGGAAAAATGGTGGTCACTTCTTCTACCTTCAGGAATCTCAGTAGATCATCTTCTCCAATGGATCTGTAACAGTCAAAATTGTATTTTAATTTCGCAATTATTTATACAGTCAATTTCATTACAACAGAGTAATATTAATCTAATATTGTAAAAATATTTAATTAAAAGTATCATTTATTCTTAGTCCTATCATTTCATATCATGTGAGTCCTTTTCTATCAAATCTTTTCTTTTCACACAAATAAAGTGGCTCCTAGATGCCACGTGGACCCATTAGGATGGGGTAGCTAACTATATAATAAATGACTAACAATATGTAATGCATATGAATATAATATTATTATTTATTGGTTTTAATACTATTTTTAACTGTTTTATTTTAAGTAATTTTAGATTAAATTAATTCTTATAAGAATTCAGTACATGTATTTTAAAATATTTAAATTAATCTCTATAATTTAATAAAAAATTTAAAAAAATTAACTTTAATTTCCCATCACTTTTGTTCTTATTAGAAAATAAGAATGTATGGTGTGAAAGAAAGTGAAATAATGATTATGAAACAAAATAATTCATTATTCAAGTCTTTAAAATAAATAAAATAAAAATAAAGAAGGTGAGATATCAGTTTTTCAATAATTTATAAAATTTTGTCCACCTATGATGTATATACAGTAACATTTAGATTTGTTTAAACTTTTATTTTAGAAAAAAAAAAAAAAAAAATCAGTGGATATAAAGCTCCTGGAGGACAAGTAGCTTCCTTTACTTACGAAATAGCAATAATTTGTCAGGCCCTGTTCTATTTATAGACTAGATTATTAATAAAATTTATCAAATATATATATATATATACTCATTTCAAAAATACATTTTAATTTTAAAAATATTTCAAAAAAATCTTAAATTTTTAAAAATTTAATTGTCACTCTTGAAACTTTTTAAAAAACCTTCAAAAATATTTTTATTATTAGTACACAGTGTATTAAAAATATTCATTGGTTTTTTAAAGGAATATTAAAATATTTAGAAAATAATCTATAAATTTTTTGTAGACAATTTTTGTTCATATATTGATAATAAGAATTTTTACGAAAGTAAACAACATTAATCATATGTTTAGAGTACCAAAAGTAAAAATATTTTTAATTTTTTTGAAAAATTTTGAAGGATAATAATGAAATTTTTTAAAGTTAAAAAATATTTTTGAATTAAATTACTCGTTCTTAGAAATATTCTTATTAATTTAGCCTTATTATTATTATTATTATCATTTTAATAAAATCACTGGGATTGAAAAATTACAAATCAAGTGTACCTCAAATTTAAAAATAAAAATAGTTGGTTCGTAAAATAAATAGTTTGCATGGTCTTTTTTTTTTTTTTTAATTAGATTTAAAAAAATATATTTTACAGAAAAAACAAGAAGATTCTATTTGGGTTATGCTTTCAATTATAGACATGAAATAATTTGGTGGGAAACAGAATTATTTGGTTTCTCCTTTTTCGTTTTAAATTAAAACTGAAAAAATAAAAAATAAAAAATATAATTTAATTAACTTTTTAAAAAATAATTGGGGAAGATATTTTCATGGATTGAATAATATAAAATTATGATAACGATATAAAGTGGAGAAACTAACCTTCACAATCAAATATTATTTTCTTTTTCATTTGTGGACGTAACAAAAAAAGAGGCAATTTTAAAAATAAAAAATAAAAAAAATAATAGGGATATGATATTATAAATATATAATTAAAATGGTCTTTATTTTATTAAAATATATAATTATATTTATAGGTGACATGCTATTTCAACATTATCTATCTTTTAAATCTTTTTTTTTTAAATTGTTTATTTTGAGAAAAAAAAAGTTTGTATAATTGGTAAATAAATATAATTTTAATTTCTAGAGAGAGAAATAATTTAATTCTAGAGAGAGAGAAGAACCTGGCACCAGGCTTAGCGACGTTCTTGAACACTCTCTGAGCGCAGTTTCTGGCCTCCGATTCACTGGTAATCTCCGATTCGGCGTTCGCGAAATCATCCACCGTCCGAGAAATCGTCGACAGTCCCGACGATTTCACATAGCTCATCAGTCTCTTCGCACTCCACGCCGACGGTCTCCTCTGTAAGCTTAGTTTCCTCAACATCTCCATATCGATCTTCTTACACGAATCTTGCCGCTTCGATCTCGACAAGATCTGACCTCCTCCGCTCTCCTGCAACCTCGCCGGTAGAGACTTCGACATTTTCTGCAACCGCCGCTTCCGATTCTCCTCCTTATCCATCTCCGCCTCGTCTAGCGGCGGTCCGGATAGTGTCTCCAGGATGTAGTGGTTGAACACGCTTTCCTTCATCCGATCGAAGAACGTCGCGACGTGGAACGACGATGCGAGGACTTTAACCAGAAGGATCTTGAGAAGCCAGATTGTGGCGCCGACTAAAACAGCGATTAGAAATCGGAAGACCTTTAAGAGGACTTTGTTCTTGTTGTGAACGTCGGGGAACATTATCATCCACGCGATTAGAACGAGCCCTAACCAAGCGCAGTTCTGGAAGCTCTTGCGGAGGCCGTAAACAAAATAGAGAACTCGTTCGCGAAGCATGAAGTTTCGTTCGATTATGAAGACGAGGAGACCGACGAGCCATTCAGATACCAAACGGCCGCAGAATACCACCATTACGATTAAACACCATTTCCATACCTCTAAGCTCCAAATCTGTTTCGCTTGAAGCGATTCGAGAGTTAGGGCACAGATTAAGCAAGTAGTTATGGTGAGAAACAATATCCACTCGATTAACACTCGTTTGTTGATCTTCTTCTTCTTCTTCTTCCTTTTCCGTTTTCGTCCTTCGTTTCCAGCTCCGATTTCTTCATCTTCATCCTCTTCCTCAGAGTACGAAGATGAAGAACTGGAATCTTCTTCTGCTGTAGGTTGAAGGAGATCGGTGGATTCAGGAATGGTTCTTGGCGTAGAAAGGGGGAAATTAGGTTCGTCGAAACGGGATTTAGGCTTAGAGAAATTGAGACGGCGAAGAGTTTTGGTTCTGGCCGGAGATAGTGAGATTTGTTCCTTCTCCGGCGGGTCGATGGCGAGAACTAGATGGTCGTTTTCTGGTTTCCGCACCTCCATGACTGTGAAGAATCCGTTTAGTTTTCAGAGTCGGGAATGGAAATTTATAGGTGGGTTCACAGAGACGCCATTGATCTCGAGAAACATCTGTAAAATGTGGTGTAAAAGCGCAGAGACCCACCATTGTCGACGAAACAAACACCCACACAAAATTTATTTTTTATTATTTTATTTATTAAAAATATTTATTTATTAGTTTATTGATAATTTGAAACAATGTGATCCTCGTTTAAAAAAGTAAATGAAATTATTGACCGCAAGTGCTTTATTTTTGTCGTGTAGTGTTTTTATTTATTTATTTATAATTATTATCTTTTTAATATTTAATAAAGTAATGCAAAGTATATGCTTTGCGAATTTGTTATAAATAATTAATAATATTTAATGTTTGTTTAATTTCCTAACTATTTTATTTGAATGTGAGATCCAAAGAGGTGAGCATATAATATAATATGTGAGGTCAAATTTTTTAGGATATTAAGTTAGTATCGGTTGCAGGCCAAAGTTGACAATATCGGTTAGCGGTGGACTTGAACTTTTATAAATAGTGATAGAGCCGGTCATCAGGCGGTGTGCCACCAAGGACGCTTAAACATTTCTTACAAAGGTATGTAAACCTATCCCTAGTAGACGCGTTTTAAAACTGTAAGACAATAAAGACGCTAGGTCTCTAAGGGGAACGACGCATTGTTTACAAAGGTGTGGAAACCTTACTAAAAGGAACAAAGCACGCTCGGTTCTCAAGGGGAACAAATCATTTCTTACAAAAGTGTGAAAATATCTCTCTAGTAGACGCATTTGAAAATAATGAGGCTGATCTATCTCGAGTAGACATATTTTAAAACCATGAGACTGACGAAAATACGTAATAGGTCAAAACGGACAATATATATTAACGAGGTTTGACCGAACAATATATGCTACACATTTATTTTTATTTTAAAATAATTAAATTTGCATGTCGGGCAACACTTTTTCATTTTAGCTCGATTTAGCTCGAATTTAATTCATTTTTTCATACATGTTGATAGTTTCTCAACATAAAAGTATATATAATTTTAATATATTTAGGGTTTAGCTAATAAATTATTAGAATATTTTTTATTTTAAATAAAAATTATATTAAAAAATAGAAATTATTTATTAATTTTTTTTAATGAAGTATTTATAAGAGAGATTAGAAAATATATTACTGACCTATCTAATATTTAATTATTTTTCTTAAAATAATCTTTATATCTTTATTTCGATAAATATTTTTAAAATATTTAAAATAAATAGATAACAGGCTCATGTAATTATTGAGTTTGACTCTATTGAACTAGTGATGATGTTTTTACTACAAGATTCCTGTCTCCATCTCCCCCCTAATATCTGCTCTGACTCTGTCCCACCGTGCTATATATATATATTAAAGGTTGAGGGGTGTGTTGCAATATTAAAATTTAATTTTTAGACGATAATTAAATGAAGGTTGAAAATTGTATATTGATAATGGATAAGACATGACAATATTTATAATCTAAGCTAAAAGTAATGAAATTAAATGAGAAAACATAGGGTGTGATTAATTTAAAGAAATTTAAGGAAGGACTCAACTATTTGTTCCCTAAAGGAGAGCCGTTTGATTAAAACATCCAACGGCTGATATGTTTTCTCAACCAATTTGTAACGTTTTAATTGGTTCTAAAATCTTGTCAATATAATTTCTCTTTCGAAAAATGAATTAAAACCAACCTTTTCTCTTTCCTTCTTTTATATCTATTAACTTTAATATTTGTGTCTATCGGAACTCTAAACTTTCAAAATTACGATTTTAGTCCTTGACTTTCAACATTTTTAAAATTTACGGGTCTACTGGACGCAAAATTTAAAAATTAGCATCGTATAGTTTTTAAATACTTTCAATTCGTTTGAGTATGTTTTATACATAAAATTTAAAAAAGGGGTCGACATAAATCATAATGGTTGACCGATTAAAGATTAAAGCACAAATAAATTAATTTGTTGAAAAGAAAAAAAAAATTAATAAAGCAATTAAAATTGAATTTTATAATATTTCAATGTTTTATAACGTGCCCAAAAACGTAGCTCAACTATTACTCAACCAACTATTTGTCTTAATAAAAATTCGATTTTTGTTTAAAAACGTCTAGATATTGTTGAAAACTACTGGACCAACTAACACATCGGTTTAGGACAAACCAACATCTCGATATTATCGAGAAATACTAAACCAACAAGTACCTCATAAATGTGCATCCCAAGAAAATTCTTAAAAGGTTACCCAATATAGAGTTCTTCCAAAGTAAAATGCGTTTAATCGTAGAGTTCTTATGATTAAACCACCGAAAAGAAACATACACCTTGTTAGTATAAGTAATAACTCTCATTTAAAGTCTTTCTTAGTCATCTTATTTTCAGGATCGCTCTCATTCAGATGTGATTTTAATTCATTCATGTACCTCTTATTTACTCATGTGTCACATACCCATCAACTTTTTACCATAATTTGTCCACAAACCACATCTTACTAGAAGAGGTATCTCTCCGATACCATTTTGAGTATCTCCCAACCACATTTCAAGAAAATTTTAAAATAAATTTTGTGAATATTTCAAAACAAATTTTGTGAAATCATTTGTCACATGGTGTGGAGCATGACGGGATTATATTTCGCTTTTGACATAATTTTTGTCGTATACTTTTATAGAAAATTTTATGATTTCGTATACCTTCTTTTATATATCTACCTTAATGTCTCTCTTTTGATATATATATATATATATTTTGTGATAATTCTCATAAAAAAAAATGAACATTCTCATTCATCGAGAGTTGAGTCTTTGGTTAAAGTTCAATCAATAGGTTCCGGTTCCTGAACCTTTGACTCTACTCTGTCTCTATTATCTGATTGAACTGAATTAGCAGCTTTTCAAGACTCAACAACGGAGAGAAAGAGAAAGAGAAGCTCAGAACCTATTTCTTTTTTTAAAATTATTTTAAATTTTAAAAAAAAGTAAATAATATATATATATATATATATATATATATATGTCTAACTAAATTTCTACAAAATTGAGACTAACATAGACTATAGTATATACATTTACAAAATATAATTTATTTTTTAAAAACAAATTATACAGTTACAATTCTATGCAATTTTCCTATAAAAAAAAAGCCATATTTCTAAATAATAGTCAAATGTGATGATAACTTTGAAAGAATAACTTTAGATTCACCCATAAAAATAAATAAGAAATAAGAAATAATAATTAAAAAAAAAAAACATAGGAAACAAACAAGATTTGAAAATTTCTTGTGGGGACTTATGTCTAAAGTAGAATCTTAATATGCAAAAAAAAAAAAAAAAAAAAAAAAAAAAAAAAAAAAAAAAAAAAAAAAAAAAAAAAAAAAAAAAAAAAAAAAAAAAAAAAAA